CATAGAAACTTTATAAATAAAATATTCCAAAATTTGGAGTGAGATATTCTAAGGAGATTTTCATAATAGGTGTGTTTTATATACACACAGGAACTCTTGCAACTGAGCCATAGTTTATTGAATTAGCTAAGTGGCTTTAATTTCTATACCTTATGGAATCACATTGGTCAACTGACAAGATGGAAACGCTATGCCCCCCAAGTCTCTTCTAGAACCCTCAGAATCTATGGCCTTCTGACCATGCTAGTAAAAACTGAAGGCATGTTTTCTGCTACTTTGAGATTTGACAGTAGTGTAAAGTATTAACACTTTCAGCAAACTGGCATCAAAAAAACACATGGGATTAAAACTTCCATCATCTTCATCCCAAGTGGAAAATGTAACCTTTCTTTCTGTTAATTTGAAAGCAGACTGGCCCTTCCACATTTATTCAGTGTTAAATGAGAAAAGACAATTTCTATTTTGGTATCCCTAATCAAGTCTGATGAACATCGGGGGGGAAAGAGAGAAATGGTTCTGCTTTCTAATTGCACAAGCCACAAAAGTGTTCTGAAAAAGTAGCTGCATTGGGATCTTGTCCTACACTTGATTTTTTTTTTAATGTGTATGAGGTGTGCCTCAGGCAGAGCTGTTGTGCATCTGTGAGACAGGAAGAAACAGACAGGGAAGCAAGTAGTAAGCAATGAAAACAGCATCTAAACTGTGTTTTTTCCCCCTTTCTCAAAGCTGCAGAGTAACAGAGGAATTATGGGAAGCATGGAGCAGGTTACAAAAGAACATTTAAATGTTTTCCATCTTAATCTCCCTTTAAACACATTTTCAAAAAGCAACAAGAGGAAGAAGAGAAAAAGAGACTGGGATGATCAATAAAACATTCAAACAACCTTCCCACAACTCACATTTTACCTGAATATTTCATAGTGTATAGTCTACTTTTGTGTCTGTTGTCATTACATGAAATGCAAAATCATCTTCTTGAGGAACAAACCCAGTAGGACAGTGGTAGCGAACCTATGACATGTGTGCCAGAGGCAGCACTCGGAGCCCTCTCTGTGGGCATGCGTGCCATACCCCAGAGATGGCAACCATCCCTCTTCAACCAGTCGCCCGCTAACTTGCACATGGCCAGATGCATCCCAGCACCCATGGGCTCACTGGCCTCTGTGTGCGGGGGCCGATGGTGTCAGGCAGCAGCCGCCCTGGCCCCTGCCTCACCTTGCCCTGTGACAATGGCACCCCCACCCTACCTCGCCTCACCCTGCAGGACGAGCCTCCTGCCCACCGCCCCACCTGCCAGAGACCCCCTGAATCTCCCCCAACCCTGCCTGGCCCCCACAGGCGTCCCTCCCCATGAGCAACATCGAGGTGATCACTTACCCAATCTGCCATGATCACCACAGTCACGCTCACCTGGCACCCGGCGATAAATAAGTGGGTTCTGGGGGTTGCAGTTTGGGCACTCGGTCTCTAAAAGGTTCGCTATCACTGCAGTAGGATTTACTTCTGAGCAATCATATACAAGATTGGGTTTTATCTACAGGGAGCTTAGAGCTCCAAATTCCTTAGAAATAGATGACGATATGAATAAAAGACATACAATACTGAAGAACAAGAAATTATTTTTTCATGTCATCAGTTATAAATTCCAAACACATTTAATTCAAAGTAAATTCCTCTAATATAGTAATAGCTATCTATTTCTCCAAATGTTTGTTTAGAGTCCATTTTCAATTGACTTACTCTTTCCCTTTCAAGAATTTTCTAGACATGCTTATTGCACTGAACATGTGAATCTATAGAGAGTAATCAACATGCCACATGAAATCCAGAGTCTTTCTTGGGGAAAGTTGCTTTGTCGGTTTCATAAAAGACAGTATCACTTTTCTCACTGCAATACTGAGAAACAGTACGATGGTAATTTAGGCTCTAAGTAGGCCTGTACAACTTATAGAAGGAAAGAGCCAGATTTACACCTTTAAAATAAAGTTAGGCCACAAAAGAATAGCTAGCATGCTAATCAGCTATTTGATAGCTAGTGGCTCCAAGACAGCAATGGAGCTGGCAGTGTCCATGAGCCTGGAAATACTGAAGGCGCTTGGCAGTGTTTCTTTCGGGCAGATGTGGCTGTGAAGCACAGGTCTTTCTTAAGAGTGTTGATGTTTGGTGGCAGTAGATTATTTTTCAAAAAGTGCCAGCAGCACAAGGCAGCTTGACAGGCAACATATGGCCCAGGGGCATTATGTTGTGCAGGTCTGCCCTAGAGACAGAAATAGTTCTGCAAGCAGGCTGACAACTTGTGCAAACTTCCAGAGAGTTTGCACAAGTTGTCACTCCGTCCAGAAAAATAATATCACCAGATTGTTTGGGGGGGGGGTGAACAGTGCAAAAATAGGGCACTGTAGAGGCCCATGATTATTTAGACTAAGTCAGCAATCTTCAAGTGGATAATAACCACTTAATAGGTGTGGTGCACATAATGCATGAGGACTGTGCTGAATTTGGAAGTTTTTTAAAAATTGTTTTATACATATTTAATGGCCTAGAGCACAGTTTACCTGTTTCCTTAAAATTGTGCATTGAATTTTCAACAATTATGATTTAAAAAAAGGACCTGATGGGTTAGAAGTCACAGGATGCTGTGGTACTGCAACTCCCTCCAGATGCCTCCATTGTCAATGTAAATTAGGACAATGGAACTTAGGTCAACAATATCAAAGAGGAAGGACCCAGCCATTGCTCATTCCTCATCTGGAGTGGGAGCTCACCTGTGAAGCTCACCTACTACATTATGCTATAAAGCTGTTGTGACAAGCATAGAAATAACCCTCTAAGATCTTGAGGGCCTTAAATGAAGGTAGAATCAAAATAAAGGGAAATACCAAGCTAAAGGAAGAGGACTCTTAGTGAAAGGTAAATGATGGACAATGGCATCTGCAGGGCCTTTTTATCATCTACTCCAGGCATGTCAAACTGCTGGCCCGCAGGCTGGATGCGTCACGCCAAAACCATGCCCACCCCATTGCCAGCAATGGGGAAAAAGTTCCAATACATTGCATGATGTCACTTGACGTCATGAGTTTGACATGCCTGATCTACTCTTTCATTCATCTCATTTGAATAATTCATACCCTACATCAACATTCCCCACTGGCACTCCTTAGGTATCCTGGAACAGAAGTCATTTAACAGTTACATTGAAGATAATGTATACTGGGTATGTCCTAGTATCCTAGTTATCCTAAGAAAGCAGTTGATAAGACTTGAAGCCAGTTAACTTTTTTGTAACTTACAGAATTGTTATGAAGACAAAACAGGAAAGAGAAAAATAATCAATTTTGCTTTCCCTGTTTTGGGAAATGAATGTAACCAAGAAGTATGTGAGTGGGAGGTGATGAAATATACTAATTGGGCTACAGGCAGTAACTGTGTGGTGGAAGACAATATCTTTAGAGATATTGTTTTAAATATAAGACTGTTTCATATAGTTGCTTTTTAAAACCATAATCAGACAGCAAGGGGGTTTCATGCAAATGTACTGTCATGTATATGAAGCAACTTGGTAAAATTAATCAAACACTGAAAGATCTGCATATCAAAATAATTTTCTTTTATAAAAAGAGTGTTTTATTTTGGATAGTTTTAGAAAGGTTGGCATTCCATCAAATGTAATGATCTTGCACTTTTTTCTTGCTCAATTCTTTATTTAGACCTCTTTGCCCCAAATATGGGGCTGCAGAACTTAATTCTAAAATGAGAGCAAGGAGTATGCAGGATCATGCCACCACCTGCTAAAATATCCCAATTGGCATTTGGTCAATTAAGGAAATAAAATAGAAATACAACAATGGAGCCAAATTCTGGACACAAGGCCCAAGGCAGGGCCAGCACAGTGGATAACAGAACACTAAGACCCACCGACACTCCCTAACATTTTGTTACCTCTCAGGTGGACTTTTTTGTTACCTCTCAGGTGGAGAAAAACACCACATATTCTCTTTCCTAACCGCAGTGGAATTTATACTGGGTTGGGAAACGCCCTGGGACTAACCAGAAATCTCTGCACTCTTGAGGAAGCTGCCCAAGTTCCTTTTCCTGAGACTCGGTTGGTTTTTAATGAACCAAGATCGTGGGGCAACCTCTCGTTAACAACCTACTCCGAAACCCATCCCACCGGAAGTGGGATAAAATTATCGGGGAGGGGAGCTCTCCCAAACTTGGTTTAAATCCAAGTCCAAAGTGAGTTAAAAACTTCTTTCTGTATAAAAGGACAGGTAAGCAGGGCTAGAAGAGCCGCCTTGGAATTCACATTTTTCGCAGAGAGGAGCGGATCCAGCCCTCTAGCCAAAAGAGCCGGCTGAAGTACGCGCCTTCGTTCCCTAAGGGGAGGCTGCAGTCCCGCCATTCAAAGAGGCGGGGAAGGGGGCCTGGGAAGGCAAAGCAGCAGCGCGACCTCTCAACGGTGAAGCCGTCGCTCTTTTTCCTTTCTCGCCTTGTCATCGTAGCAGCTCGGCGGCGAGCGGCACTGGAGCTTCGCCGGCTCCTGCTGGACCAGAAAGGCCTCGTAGTTCCGGGCAGGCAAGGCGCCGGCGCGAGGGCGGCAAAGCTCCGCTCTCGTCTTTCTAGAGGCGCCGGCGGAAATAAAACTTACCTGGCGGCTGAAGCAGCTGCGAGTCAGCTTAGAAGCGCCTGAGGAACAGATCCACGCTCCCTTCCCCAGGCTCCCTCCCCTCCGTTTCCCCGGGCCTTGCCCTTCGCTCGCCCGGCGACTGAGCACAATCTGCCCCGGAGGGAACAAATAGGAACCTGGCTTAATGGCGACGGAGCCCCGGCAGTCGCTTCAGATCGATTTACTAAACAAACTGAAACGTGGGTGGGGATGTTAAACAGTAACTAGGAGCATACGGAAAACTGAAAGTTTTTGCTTTCCCGTGGGCCTCGGTTTCTTTATGCCCGGGAGCCATTTCCCTCACGGGCGCGCTCCTGTCCCCCTTGTGCTCGACGTTCAGCCTCGCCTGGGCTGGAAAAACAAGCGTCTCTGTGCTTAGACGGAATATAGCTCTTGAATAGCCGCCACGCGCCGCAGGTGGAATAGGGCTTTCACATTTAAACAAGGTGTGTTTATTCAACGTTAGTCCCTTTGCGTTCACTGAAATTTTAGTCCAAGTTGGTTTGCAGAGGGTCGCGCAGTGCTGCAAAGGAGCCACTGCTGAGGGCTGCCGAGTAACTGTGCGACCTCCCTGGATGGAGCAGTGGGCGTGGCCACGGTGGAAGGCGCCCGTCTGGTTTCTCGTTAGGCTTTACCTGTCCTGAAAGTAGTTTTCCGTTAAATACTTCAAAAGTGTAGGAACATCTTTGTTTCCGCTTCTTGGGACGCTGGAATCAACGTCACTCCAAGAAAATGTGCGCGTAACAGGAAGAACGCCGGTAGCATTCCAAGTGCTTGGTCTAAAGACTTAACGCGTGTACATAAGCACATACTAAACTGAACTTATGTGTAATCAAACGTGAGATTCGACGGGTTTCGTCCATCGCTTGCAAAGCTGGACGGAGCCCAAATTCCGTAAGTCTTCTGCCAGCTAGAGTTGTCCCCTGCCAGGGATGGCGTAAGAATAATTTGTAAGCGAATTACAACAAGCCTAGGTTTTGCAGTACATCGAGGATTAATAGGACTTTTATCTGTTCAGACCTAGACGGATTGAACCACCAAATTCCAACAAATTTTTTTTTAAAAAATGTAAATTCTAACCTATTTGTTTTAATTATGAGTTCCTTAGTGAGTTGCACATTTTAAAAGGGGCCAGGATACAGCCAGTAGCTGTTAATCATAATGCCGATTTAGTGGGAATTAAACAGGGGTTTGAATTTCGTCTTCAGATGAATACTTGGCATCAGGATTTGACTGAATCGGTGAGCTCTCCAACGTTTGGCATTGAAACTACTCTAGGCTTAACTGGGTTATGCTGCAGATACCCACCTTAGCCCCTAAATGACAGCAGGAGAGCTAGTTTTCTGCCATCTCGTCCTGATTTTTTGCATTCCGGGTGTGGTGGCCTTAATTTAGTCTGATTCCAAAGGTCGACCACTTGATTACCAACTCGACACAACTTGGATAAACCAAATAAGATTGACTTCGTTCAAAAATAACTCGAGCACAAGCCTAGGTGAAACTTACAAATGCAGACACCAGTAAGCGAGCATTTCGGTCCCTACGCCATTCCTCCGACATGATTTATGGTGTCATCCAACCATCGCTGCGCCGCCATATCTGCCATTAGTGCACACTTTACATCGCTACAGGGATACAAATGGGTGTCCCTATCTTTCCACCTTTGACAGTATCGGACCGGCTCCAACAGGGGCAAAATTACGCCCATCTTATGCTTCAAAGGGTAGTAGCAGCTGTCACTCTGTGTCTTTCATAAAGGAACTTATGGCGAAGAGGATTTAACACTGTCCTTATTTATTTAGGTACCAGTTGAAATTCGCTATTCCGGGCCGATTCGCTCCACACCACTAAATACAAACTAAGCCAATTATATTTAGTGTCTTCTATCAACCCAACTTTTCACTTGACCAGCACAAGGAGGTGGCGGCAGCTTTTCGGAAGCGGCAGAAGATCCTTTGAGGCTTCCCAGGGCAGAACACGCCACACCCGGGGCGGTATCCTCTCTGTCCGGCGACCGTCCTAAATGCCCGGGCAATCGCATCCGATCCGCCCAGAGAAATCCCCTGCAATTTGCGGAGGGGGATAAATGCAGAAGACCCGTTGACGGACATATCCGAGAGCCAAGCATATGAGATAAAAAAAAAGAGAAGAAAATGAAGAGTCTGGCAATCTCAGAGAGACTTCAGAGAGTTTAAGTGGCTATTTCCAGCCTTGAATCCCCTGTATTGTCCCCGCAATCCTAAATATTAGATCGGTACCCAAGAAAACCGCATCTGAAATATGTGCACGGCCTGTGTAAAGGTGTTTGTTGCTTGAAGAGAAAGTAAAGGTGAAGCGTGCCTTAAATACCTGCGGGATTTTCTATTCCCCCAGTTCTAATGAAGCAGGCTTTCCGGTCTCACAGCACTCTTCGTCTCCAAGTACTGCTGTGTAGTTGGCCTAAGCAGAAAACCGGCCTTGTCCGCTTTACGGTGAATAATCCCCCCACCCCCTTCTTGACTGGGCGGCAGCAGGAATTACTAACCGGAGCGGCCGCAGTAAAAAGCTATTTAATCTCCCCTGGCTGAATTTCAGTGACTGCCAGCGACGATTACCTGTGGTTTTGTTTCAAAATTAAACCCCGAACAGGCTCTTCTACTTTCGGAGGCGATTTAAGCAGGCCGGCCACCCCGAAGTTTCATCGCTAATTCACCTGGGGTGGGAAACGGCGAGGCGAAGAGCGGGGCGCCGGGGAGCCGGATTTTTCTCCTCAAGGTGATCTTTGACTTATGCCGCCGTGTGGTTTTTTTTTTTTTTTCTCCCCAATTTCATGGCGGTAAAGGCTGGCTGGACAATTCTTAGGCTCCCTTAACTGCCTGAGCTTTACTTTCGAGTAAACAAGCCTAGGAAGGGGCAGGAAAAGAAGCCTGGGTTAGCAATGGGGTGCGGTTTTGGTTTTTTTCGCTCTGCCTGTGGGGTAATCGGGCAACGAAGAGTAATGTGAACTTCAGATCTCCTGAGCGTTTACTTCGTTGAAAAATATGGTTTTTGAGATGCATTATTTTTAAAAGAACCTCACTTTTAAAAGGCTTGTACAAATAGATTGTTGATTTGCCCAGGCCTTAGGATGGAGGTGCAGTCGGATAAAAAGCACTCTGCGACTGCTCAGAAACACCATCTATTGTCGATCACCCTCTAATCATTGTTCATAGATTTAAACACTCTGTGCTAAGGGCTGCGTTCACATATCAGGTCGAAATGTGCTTTCGCACAGAGAGGTTTTCGCAGCCAACTATGGTTTGTAAACTGATTTATTCCTTAGCCCATTGGCGAATTGTTGCTTATTTAACAAATCATTGTTAACTGAACTGTGGTTTAGCTTAATGTATCCGTTCAGCTAGCATCTGTGACAGGTAATATCCTCTATACACAGACATACTTCACCAGCCACAAGTAGGATGAAATCTTATAATTTGCGGTGGATTATAGAAATAGCAGCTCCAAACACCTGGAAGTTTCCAGGTTGGGAAATGTGTGTGTGTGTGTCACACACACACACACACACACACACAGAATACATTTTAAAACACACTTATTAGAGCTGCGAATTACATCTCTCTTTTCTAGTGAATTAAGAGATGGGGAAATGGAAAAGCCGTGGGATCTATTTGGAAGAACAAATTCAACCTCTGAAGCGATTCCATCAGATGCCTTTTTAAAGGCTACCTTTTCCCCTGTGCAGTTTCTGCTTAGCCTGCCACTTCTAAGGTACTCTCCGAGAATAACCTACAGGCCTCCAGGTAGTGTTGGATTCCTTTCTCTCCAATCCAAGCCAGCATGGCCAATCCTCAGGGTCATAGGATATGGAATCTCCCAACACTGGAGGATCTAAATCCCTTCCTCCAGTGTAATAGTATTGCTTAGGCCTGACCAGTTTTAGTAATTCAGATGTGACACCAAGATCCTAAACGTGGAGATATAAACCACCCCTGATATCAAAGAAAAGTTGTCTATTTTACCAGATTGGAAAGTCTTGGAGAGGAGTGGCTTGTCAAGAGAGCACCCTATCCTGCTCACTTGAGCACCCGAACTCAAGCCATCCGGGTTACTCTTACCTGCAATTAAACTCCACAAAGCTGAAGGTTTGCATTAATTCGCGTGAAGGGGATTGGGCTGCAGGGGCTGTAGTTGTGCCTTTAGAAGCCTGAGAAGATCAAGCTCAAGGCCAAGGCAGATGCAAAGTCAGAGCCTCGCAACACCAAAAAAGTAATTTAAAAAAGTGAATGACTGATTAGGTCAGCCAAGAAATTCTTTTGTTGAATGGGTTCGTAGAAAAGGTAGTCAACATATTATCTTTTTTGTTGTTTTATTTCAAATGGATCATGAAATAAAATTAAATAAGGGAATTGGTCAATGGGATATTGTGCACAACCTACACATCTCTGAATGGGTCTCATCCTAAGATTAGCTAAAATTCTGGGAAAATTGGAAGGGGTTGTGAAGTCTTCTCAAACCCATTTATTTGGAAGAAAGTGTCTTGGGTTCCCAAAGAGTTGATTTCCAAATTCCAATAAATTTCGATGGGTTTTCTAAATACTCGATGCCAACACCCCTCTCCTGTGAAAAGCCAGTTTTAAAAAAGATTACCGATTCCATCCGATTTAATCACCTTATTCGTCAAGCAATTCAAAAGAAATCGGTGGGATCACCACCGCCACCACCACCATCTCGGTTAACAGCTGGACCTTGATATGGTGAAGGTTATGACGGTGTCGAAGTCCAGCTGTTAACCGAGTACGTTCAGACCACCCTGTCATCATTCCGAATATTCACGTGGCGGGAGCTTGTAAGCCCATCACCCAGGATTGGCAAGAGACTGACATAAATCTGGGGCCAGCCACCCTCTTTTAATGGGTGAAAGCACAAAGGGAAGCTAAAACCGTGGATGAAGGAAGGAGAGCACAAATAGTCAGCACGAGGAAGGCAAAGTCTTCAAAGACTCCCCCCTCCCCATCAAATACTGGCACTGGGCGGCGGTGGTCTCTTTTCTCTCACATGAGCAGAAAGTGGCTTTGGAGTATCGTTCCTGTTATTTAATTTATAGGACACGCTGAGACTGAATTCATCAACGTTTCGTTGGGCAGCTCACTTTTTGTGGTCGTCCTTCCCGAACGGAAAAAAGGCCCCATTATTGAAAGACAAAAATTAGCTAGCACTTCCTCACGGCTGGGAGGAGGAGAGAGACTGCCTGCCAAACCCACAGACAGGAGCGCCTGTTTCTTGCGCCTTGGCGCGGCCACCCTGCGTAGCTCGTGTGGGCGCAAACTGTTTTGAACAGCGCGGGTTTAAAGAATCTCTCTGCTCTGGATGAGACTTGACTTCCAAGTCAGGTGAGCCAAGATGAGGTGCCATTGTTCGCCCTGCGGAATTGCTGCCGGGGGACCATGGGACAAAATTATCCGGGGATCTGAGCCGTAGATACTCCGCTTCCGGCCATATTTTCTGGCAAGAAAAGGTTTGCGAGGGGAGGGGTTTTATCTGAAAGTAGGTAATTGTTAGAGGCAGGTTACATCTGTCGAAGAGTTCCCCCTAAAACAAACGGAGAGCCTTGTGACATCTTTAACCAACGGGCAGTGCCATGACTTTTGGGGACTAGCCCAGTCGCTGGGGTGAAGCGGGCAATTGGCCTTTTCGAGGTATCTCTGGACTTTCCCCCGGATTTCTTTGAAAGGAACCTTTTCTTCACCACCACCACCACCACCACTACCACCTTTTCGCCCACTGAAGCGATGGGAATCGTCATCCAGCCAGTACAGAAGGGGCGAATTGCTAGGCGGCAGATAAGAGTCCCCCCCCCTTTTTTATGAGCCGTTATCGCAAGTACAATAAAGCCGAGGCAAAACACCCGAGAAGGTGCCTTGGCAATTAGCTGTGGGAAAGTTGAAAGCGGCGATGCCCCTGGAGCCGGCCTAGCCTTTTTCCTCGGAAGCCGCGGGGGGAAAGAGGCGCTGGAAACAGCCTGGGGCGTGAAGTAGCTGGACCATTGGGCACCGGCGTGTCTCTCTCTTTAACCCCCGAGAGACTGACGTAAATCTGGGGACAGTCCCTCTGCGTCTCAAGATATTTATCGACAAATTAGGAAAACGTCAGGCATTGCTGAACTGAAATCCAAGGCTTAAACAAAATTCTGGTCACGCGGTTAGCGGGCCAGATCGAGAGTTTTCAGTCTCTGAAAATCTCGAATTCCTGGAGGACAACGAGAACGCACAGCTCTGTCCCCGCAGCGCTACTTTCCTACGTGCAGGGAGACCGCGTGCTCTTAAAAAGTTTATTTCAAGCCCGGCGCCCTCCAGATTGAAGTTCCCACAATTCCTTGCCATTCCCTCCAAAAGCTGGGCTCGATGGGCGAGGAAGTCAATCTGAAGAACATTAGACGGACACCAAATTGTACCCATCGTCCATGTTTTGTTTTGTTCTTTTGAACGTCAAGGGGCATTTAATCCCCTAATTTTCCCACTCAGTTTTCCAATGTGATACGAATTCAGCTGTTCCGTTCTAATTAGCGTCTTGCTGCTCGCGCTGCGAGGACCGGCAAAACGGCATCTCCCTCGAGATCAAGACGCTTAAGGATCACAAGACAGAGGGGAATGAGGAACCTCCGCCCCCCGCCCCGCCCTTCTTATCTCCCTGGGATTTGCTGGGGCCCACAGGGAGAGCTCACGGTGCCACTATCAAACCTTCCGTTCAGGAAGACCAGTTTCCCGGATAAAATGGAGCGAGCCTGCATTTGCATAAGTTTGCCGCCGCGCATCTGAGCACGGGAAGAGAGAGCTGCTCTCTTGGAAGGGGCCCGTGCGTGCTTTCCTATCACTGGAAGAGCGAGAGCGCTCCTCTCAATCTCTATAAATCGTGAACTGCGGAAGTGAAACCGTCGAGAGAGGCAGTTCATCAGCCTCAAAGCAGTAAGTTCAAGTGTGACCGGAGGGCAGGTGATGCGTCCCACTCCCAGCGCCTTTAAGACTCAGCCGTCAAAGATATTCGGAGACCTAGTCCTGCCATCTAGTGGATTCTCTTCCAAACTACAGACCAGCTTTCTTAAAGTAACCATAGATAGAGAAGGCTAGCCCAGGGGTAGGCAACCTTGGCTCTTTTATAACTCGTGGACTTCAACTCCCAGCAGAGCTGGCTCAGGAATTCTGGGAGTTGAAGTCCACGAGTTATAAAAGAGCCAAGGTTGCCTACCCCTGGGCTAGCCCATCCTGGAAAGGAACGAATATTTCAGGAAGTGGTCAGAGCTTCAAAATCGGACCTTGAAAGAATGATATGGTGAAGCCTGATGGAATATATAACTTTCTTGAAGAGACTATACCCCTCAACATGCATAGGATTTTTATTCCTTGGCTTATATTTGAGAAAGCATAGTAAAGACTCTACTACAAACACAAATCATCTAGACAGACTGCATTCAAAATACTTATTAAAATATAGTATATTTTATATTCATCGGAACTTTCATCTTGTGTTGTTTCTCATAACATACAATTCCCTGCATTATAAAATGTTAAATTATAATCAAAAGTGTTGCTGCTTTCAATCCAAGTTTAAATTTAGTATATGCAAAATTCCCTACCTTACCTTTTTGTCAAATACAATTGCAATTAAAAGAAATAAATGAAAAGCTTCAAAGCAAAGCACCATTCTCTGGCATAATCTTTTTTTTTCAAATGGGCCTCTGGGCTCCATAGATATTATTAGAGAAAATAATTCTGGAATTGCACCCTAGTGCAAACATTGTATCGAGGTACTGATTCAGGCATTTGTTGTAGTTTTTCACTATTTATGTATAACTTGCAGTTGTACTCCATTTTCCCTGTCAAACATAAATCAACTTGGATTTATGCATTCATTTTCAGAATGGGTAGTAGCAAAAGTATCAGCTTTGATACTGTGAGTCCCACCTTAGGCACAAAGTCACTCATTCTTTCAGTCCTAGGAATGACTTCACCAAGAAAACTACATGCTGACTTGGAGACAAACAAAAACCCTCAAGCCTTATGGCATTTTACAACCTATTTAATATTCACTGCATTTGGGGGTGGGATTGCACTCAACAGCACAGACTGTCTGCATACAAAATGCATTCATTCACTTTTTCTGATTTAGGGTTTATGGGCAATAAGGAGGCAGAATTAGGCATATATCATAGCATATGGAAAACATACCACAACCACAACCTTCTCCCACCTTGTATCACACTGCAACTTGTGCAACTCTCATCAGTGTGGTTTTAAATAAAATGGTTTTCAAACAAGGGAACACAATGTGAGCAGGCCTTCAAATTTTTTGTAATGATTGCAGGAGTCACTTACTGGAGACAAAGTGCT